ATCAGAGCAAATATTAAATTTACGTTTTTATAAGGTATGTAAATTGGTTTCATGCATTTAATCTCGCTCTTCATTTTACTGAAGTAGGTCCTCAGAAAAGATTAAACCTCATGCAATTTGGCCGCTTACTCCCCCCCCACCCAACCTCAGCAACAAATACTTTCATAATTGATAAACTTTTATTAAGTCCTTGTTGGAAAACGAATTACAAAGTTCCTTGGCATAAATCTTCATAATCTGGAACTTTACTACAGCAATGGCATTGATACTATGAATGGCATAATAAACATAATGTTGTGATTGTAATTCTATTTCAAGTGTTCATTGTTCTTATTTATACTGTTTATTATTATTATTATTATTATTATTATTATTATTACATTTATCTTTAGTTGTTGTTATTGATGTTGTTGCGGACATTTTGAGTGTGTACATGTCTGTTTTTGTTTTTTCTTCTCTTCTAGGTCTCTTATCTTCTGTCTCACCTTCTCTTTCAGATTATTTTTTTCTTCTCATTTTCCACTCTGACCTGTTCTTTTGCCTCTATCTCTCTGCACCAATCATCTAAAGTCTCCCTCTTTCTCTCTTGCTTCCTTCCCATTTTCGTTTATCGCCTTTTCATGAACCCTTCTTACAGAATATCTATGGATATATTTCCAATACTTGAAAATCTATTAGAAAATCATTTTTAGCTACTATTAATGTAAATGCTAGGAAAATTGTACACCCACCTCACTCTCTATCTCTGTCTCTCTTTAGTTTGCTCTTTCTCTCTCTCTCTCTCTGTGTCTCTCTCTCTCTCTGTGTGCGTGTCTCTCTCTCTCTGTGTGTGTGTGTCTCTCTCTCTCTCTCTGTGTGTCTCTCTCGCTCTCGCTCTGTCTCTCTCTCTCTCTCTCTCTCTCTCTCGCTCTCTGTCTCTCTTTTTTTTTTTTTTTTTTTTTTTTTTCTTTCTAACAACTTCATTTGATTCCTATATAAAATTCTTCTCAATCTGTTCAGTCCTATTGTTTATGTAGAATGTTAGGAAAATTAATGACAAAGTGGAAAAAAATTTTCATTCTTCAGGACTTCATCAGATGAAAGTGATGTTTATGTTGATATAATAACTTATGTAGGATCAAAATTCATGTTATTTTTGGACAAGTCTAATATCATGGTGCATGAAGTGGATTCTTTTCAACTCTTAAAAGTGCTATAATAAGTCTTAAACAGGTTTTGTTAATTTCTTAGCATTTGCTGATAAATAATTGGACTTATTTTGGTAAATATTTATCTGGGAATCAGACTTTTTGATTTGTTGTAAAACCTTTCTCCTCTCTTTTCTACAAGACCTAAATTTTATTGGAAAATTAAAAACAAAACAAAAAAAAACATTATTGCTCGTTACAAGCCTGTTTCTGTTTATTTATTTTTTTTGAATCTGTTGGTAATCTTTAGTTCCCAATTCTAAAATCCTGCTCTCCTTCATGCTAACCTGTATTTGAATACTAACTCAAATTTGAGTGTTTCTTCTTTTTTACCAACTAACCTATTTTTCATGTTGAATTCTTATTCATATTTTTCTTCTTTTTTTGTCATTTACTAAATGTTCTGCTTTTCTAATTCTGTTGTTGGATGAATTCTGACATATTGGTCAGCCATTTCTCATATTTCTTTGATATTTTTTCTTTTTTATTTTCTTTCAATCATAGTTTGTAATTAAATGATTCTTATTTTATTTTTTTTCATTGTCTATTTCAAATATATTTCTTTGTGACTCAAGCAAATGAAATAGAATGATTTTTATAACACTACATATTGTGATGAATATTTAAATCCTGTTACGTCCTTTGAATCTTATATGATTAAAAATTTAAAAAATAAAATACCATACAAATCCCTTTTTAATTTTCTGCACCGGGTTAATATTTACTTTTATCTTTTCATCTACTTGTCTACTTAATTCATTTTTCCTTGTACTTTAAAATAAATGACTGAATGACTAGAGTGAATGTTGTGATTGTTGTATCTCTACTGTTGAACGTAATCTCAATCCAAACTCAATGTGTTTGAATTATAACTTTCAGAGCTTTCAGCCATTTGCTGTTTTCTGTTCACTTGGAGTCACTCTGAAGTGGAAGCACTTTTCCTTTCATTGCCAAATTGGCTACTGCTGTAAACAAACAATGTGTTCATATTGTGCCTTTAGCATTGTTAGACAATCAGCAGTCAGTGTTGTCCTTTTTTTAGTGCTTTGTCATATTTGTGTGTGGCTGTGTGCATGAGTGACTTCATTTTATTGTGTTAAGCCACTGTGTCTGTTAGTTTTTCAAATCTTTTTACAAAGAGGAAAATTTTACTGTTTGTTTTTTTTGTTTTTTTTTTGTTTAAATGCATTTCAAGTTTTAAAAGGATTTTACAAGTTTAATATTTGGAGAAAAACCTATTTTCCTGACCTTGCCTGCCAGAGCTTTTATTATTAGTCCTTGGAGAGAAAAAAAAAAAAAACAGTGAACAGTTTTTTTTTTTTTTTTTTTTTTTTTTTAATAACTAAAAACTGAATATGCAGTAAAAAAAAAAAAAGTTCTATCTAAAAAAAAAATGCTGGAAACTTTTGCGCACATATAATAGTCTGTAATTAGTTTGGGAATAATTTCTCAGGTTTTGGTCTATATTTGTATAATTAAATTAACTAAATAGAAAAAAATATTGTAAATTCGTTACCCAGACATACACAGCTGCCATTTTAGCTCCAGTGATAATAAACATTCAGTCACAAGATGATTTGGAGCAAAATTCTTAAATGATAATTTCTACTGAGATGTTTATGCAATTATTTTGATAATATGAAGCAGAGGTTTGTCATTGGCTTGTGTCAAATTCACATATGGTCTCAACTGTTTGTAAATCAGTCCAAAAGATGAGTGTTTGACATAAAGAACATAAGACTGTATACACCATCCCATGCAGTTGTGGTAAAAATATAAAGGAGAAACGGTCGTCCCCTTTAAGATAAGACTGCAGGAACACTATAAAGCCACAATATGAGGGGGAAATGGAAAATCAGGCATGGCTGACCATATATGGATGGGAAAATGGAAATCTCAAATTATAATAAAATTAAGCCACAAAAAATCTTTCTAACATTTGGTCTTACTGGGACATCCAAATCCCCAAAAATTACCCAATGTGAAACTGGTTTGACCATTTGTTAATTACCAAACTATTTAATTAACACTGACACAGAATCTTGCCTAAGGTGTATTAATTTTAATAAAAACTTTGTTTTATACCACCAAATATTGAGATTTTATGTATTTCATTAAATTTACAGAAATGAAAATTAAGATACAATTTAAGATCAAGTTATTTTAAAGTCTGAGATATATGCAGATAATATCTAAGTGAACATGGCTTGGCTAATTGCTAAGCAAGATTAAACATTTTTATGGGACATTTCAACCTTAGGTGTTTTTTGTTACCTTTCCTATATATTTTTGTTCCATTTTGAATATATGTCAAGAATGTGTTGTTCATACAATAACAACCCATGATTTTTTTTTTTCTTTTGTTTCATCCACACTTTTTCATTTACTGAATTGCCTTTATTTTGATTATTATTCACCAAAAAGCCTAATCTCATAAAAGGAATCATTCTTTAACAACCAGTATTGTGTATAGAGCATTTTTTTTCTACAGGGGGAAAAAAACCCCAAAACAATATGAATGTTTACTTGGTTAAATATCAGATGATATTTATATTATTTACTTTCTGAGCTGCCTATCTTAGAAATAGCAGGCAGTCCCTACCAAAAAAAAAAAAAAAAAAAACCTGCTAAGGGACTAATTGTTTTACATCTGGTATACAGTTTAAGTTTCTTGTGTATGTGTTTTTTTTTTTTCTTTCTTTCTTCCCAACCCCTCTAATCAGGTCAACATTCTTACCATTCACAAGCGCCTATCCTCCCATCCCCTATTTTCATCTTGGCTACATTTTAATGACTGGAAAATTAAGGGTTAATTAAAAGCTAATTTCTTCACATATGACTTTGCCTCCTCTTTATACATCATCTCATTTTGGGAAATAACTTAACCATTTGTAGCCATAAATATTTAATGTGTTGATGATTAAAGTGGAAATACATCATGGCAGTGATTTAATTGAATACTTAGATAGAATCAACAAAAGAGCAAATTATTCACTTATTAAGAGGGTAAAAAAAAAAAAGAAAGAAAATGGGTAATATGAATTTCACCAACATAAAATTGGCCAGTAAGTAGGCAGAAGATATATTTGTAATCAGGCATTTTGTTTTTCCTCTTTAATAAACATCACCTTAATCTTGAATTGGAATCACAGATTTGCTATTTCTGATTCATCATAAGACATTGCGCTTGTTTTCTTTCATGGTTGATTCTAGAATCTATAATTTATAAAATGATCTTGGCATGAAAATGTGTGAATGTTATTTATGCTACACTTTCCTCAAAGGAGACATAGAATTTGAAAAGAATCTCTGGTCTATTTTTACAAAGATAGTCTGAACCTTTTTTATAAAAATATGGAAAGTATTCCAGGCCAGCCATTGATAGTTCATATCTTAATTGTTACCCATAAATATAACCTTGTACATGACTGGACCCAATTAACACCAAACTGCATTATGTAAAATAGTTTCATCATAATAAAAATAAATTAGTGCTATGTTAAAATATCTTCTTTTCAATAAAATGACAGTTTAGTTTACTAGATAATGGCTGAATAAACCAGTTAAATCTATTTAAAAAAAAAAAAAAGTTTTTACTCAAAGCAGTTGTTGACAACCCAACTGTCACCACCCCTAACACCCTGGTCAATCGTCCATTTCACCTCCTGTCTACATGTCTTAGATGTTTTACTGTCCAAAATTCTTATCTTTCGATAATGCTTTTGATGATCTTGTCAAGTATTTTTTTTTTTTTTTTTTTTTTGATCTGAAATAATTTTCTTTTGAGAATACTTTGCCTTGTCCATTCTACAGAACTCTCTGGAAGCTGCTGAAAATCTCATCAAGAAACATGAAGCCTTTATTACCACCATGGATGCAAATGATGAGAAGATCAACAATGTTTTGCAGTTTGCCCACAGGCTAATTGAGGACAACAACTATGCTGCTGACAAGATCAATAAGAAGGCAGAAAACATTAATGAAAGGTTAGTAGCGGCTCATTTAACTAATAGTGGTTCCCCCCCCACACCACCACCCGCTTTATTAACCTGTTTGCTGCCATAAACAAGATAATTCTATGGACAAGATATCTAACCAGGAGAGTGTCTTTCTTTTGAAAGATGATAGCGTTCATTTGAGCAAACAAAGGAAATTTGTATGAATACTTTGGCACTATGATAAGTGAATGTTTGTGCCTTATGTGAATATTCATGATTTAAGATATTTCATAGGTGTGACATTTCGTTTTAAATTGACCCTTTAGCATTCAGCCTGTCTCTTTAAATATTGGCACTCAATGTTCAACCCACCATAACTAGACCTGTGTATACTCTGCCATAATATGATGACATCACAAATAAAGCAGGAGCCCACACTGGTGTGACTTTGAGGGCTGTTATTTATGGGGTGTGTTGGATTCTAAAGGGTTATTATATATGCACATTTATGTTTATATTATATTTATTCAATATTCTTCTGTACATATTGATCTGTGTGCAAACATTTCTTTGATGAGAAAAACCTAGTACAAAAGAATATTAGAAATATACATGGCAGCCAACAGGTTCATGTTCAGATTGATAAACACTTTTTGTTGTTGTATTGTAATTGCTTATTTTGGCTTTGAAATACGTAAAAAATTTCATCAGTTATCATTATTTCTCTTGTTTTTATTTTCTGTTTGAAACTTTGTCAAAAATGGGGGGAAAAGTGAGAAAAAGAATGTTTTAAGAAAATCAAATTTTGTTGGTTATTGCATTGAGGAGACATGCAAAATTGAATGCACATGACATAAAATATATGCCAAGGGTCGGGTAGAAATTAAATTTTCTACATTCAAAACGGATTTTTCAGTTGTTTTGAGGATTTTGAGATGTTCTTTTGTTTCTTCTACACACACTACCATTCCAAACAGGCAGAGATCTTCTTTTGTCTTGACCAAATGATTTTCTCAAACAATTGTTTTGATATCTAAATAGTAATTATAGAATAAAATGGGTCTGAGAAAAATCTTTCTCATTTTGATAAACAGTCTATTCATTTACAAAAGAATTTATTTCTAATATTTTATTTGTTTCTCTCAGTTATTGTGCTATTATCTATTTTCTAGGCTTGGATTAGGCTTTGAGCGAAGTAGGAGTTCTTTGTATTTTCTCTTAAAAATAATTTCATCTCACCTTTTCAATGGGTTAAGCATGATACCATCTGGTCATGTCTACACAAATATTTTTCTGCATAATTTTACTTTTGTTTTCAGATTAAAATATAAGTATGAATGGTGCTGTTTCTTAACAACAATTTAATGTAGTAACCTTTTTTTTAATTTATTTTTAATCAAGTAAAATGTTTCCTTTCATGAAATATTTTCAAAAGCATAAACAAATAGTGATATAATTTATGCTTGTCTTTTAATTAATTTTATTATTGTGTCTATAATTAATTTTTTTAATCTCTTGTATGTGGTGCTTACCTCTTATATTTTTGTTTTAATTGAGGAAAAGTATTTAATTGAAAAGAAATAAAATTTGCTCTGGTAGAAACAGTCCTTATAAGTTTTTTCTTGAACCATTCTTAATATTATTAAAATAGTGTCCTGAATATCTGGTTTCATTTTTCTGTCTTACACAATGAGGATGTGCCAGTGGTATAATGAGTATTATAAGTGTAATTAGTGTGCCAAATTTAAATTCTGGCTTGGTCACTTGTGTTCACTTGGGCACAAATGCTGCTGAGGAATGCATTAATAAGTTTATTTTCTGTACCCTCCAGTTATGTGTTAAATAACAGGGCAGACTGGACTCTCATCTTGGGTGACAACCAGTCTAAGAGAAGGAAAACTTAGAATTCCAAACTTTTGTGAAAGCAACTTGATAGTGCACCACTATCTTTCCCAAGAAAGCATAGTTATTCACAGATATTAAAGAAACATAATCCAGAGGAAGTCCTGATATGCATACATTCTGAAAGGTATTAACTATTAAAAATGAAATAAAGAAATCCTATAAGAAGTCGATCCACATTTATTTTTATCCAGAAAACTTTGTAGCATTGAAGTTGGATTCTGAGAGTTTAAGCTGTGTTTTAAAACATGTCCTTCAAATATCCTGATATTTTGAATCAGAAGTCATATCACTTAATTTTATTCAACATAGACATTATTGAAAGGGACTTGCTCTGGCAAATTCATCTTTTACTAAGGAATGTTTAAAATTTTAATGTTTTCAACTTGGAAGTAGCGATTAATCTTTCTGCAATTTCATTGTTTAATAATTAAACATTTCAAGCCTTATTTCACTTGAGTCTTAGTTTTCTATTTTATTTATTTAGCTGAATTTAACTAACATTAAAAATAGAAAAGTAGGGTGTTTTTTTTTTTTTTTTTTTATTTAAAAAAAAAAAAATTGTCCATGTTGGGACCTGTCTTTATTTTTAGCTACTTTATCTTATCAGTAACTTTGGCATTTCAGCATTATCCAGTACAAAAACAGGTAAGACAATATATCCTGCTGCTCCTTTTCCATCCTAAGTTCAAGATAGAAGGCGGGTGGGTAAAAATAAAACTTTTTTTTTTTTATTTTTTATTTTTTTTTTTTTTGTGAAGTGTTCTTTCCCCCCACCCCTGACTCTGTCCCTGCCTTACTGAAATAATGTCTCTGCTATGAAATGGTGTCTTTGTAAGGACTTCATATTAATCTTTTGCTTCAGTCTCAATCATAATGTTATTTTCAATCAGCAAGTCTTAGAGATACTATTATTACCATAACTACTAGTGTCTTCTTTATTTTATTTTTTTTATAACAAGGATTATATATATAAAAAAAAAAAAAAAAAAGCTTGTTATTGGACTGACATTCATCTATCCAGTATCCCCTTTGTATATAAACTCAGTTATTTTGCACACATGACAACTGGGCTACCCAAGAAGTTATATAACAAAGCTATACACCTATTATTTTTATTATTTTAATTTCTTTTTATATAGGCACATCCACTTTTTCCGGGAAAACGGCATAGCGTAATGAAAAATGCCACAAACTTAATGTAAATCAAGTTTTATCGTAAAAATGCTTATGTTATTATTAAGATAAAAGACCAAAGTATTTTTTAAATATTTTTTGAAATTTTTTATTATTTTTTAACACGTTCGAAATTTTGGTTAAAATCTTCTTTTGTTTACGTCATCGCGGTGCTGTTAAAATAACATTGTTTTTTTCGCACTTTTTTCCGTTGAAAACACATTGATTTGGAAATTCTTGTAAAAATCAAGTAATTGTCCGATTTTAATGAAATTTTCAGGACTTATTCACAAATGAATGAAATTATTTTTGAAATATTTCTTTCTAGAAAATTTTGGTAAAAAATATTTTTTTTTTAAATATGTTACACCCCACTTACTTATTTTCCTGAAATTTCGTTCAAAACCTTTTTATTTCCTGACAATTTTTTTTTGTTAAAGTAAAAGTCATTAGAGATGGTAAATCACCTACTTTTTTTTTTAAATTTAAGCTAATTAACTAAAAATCTGCTCTGAATTGAAAAATAATGAATCAATAAATCTATGATATTACTTAATTAGAAAAGCTTTTAATTGCTTTTATAAATAAGTAATATTAAAGTCGTATTGCCTGAAGAAATAAATTTTTTCTGATGAATAATTAAATTTTACAAGAATTTTTTCATTGGTTTTACATTTTAATTATAATAATTTATAACAGTTTAAAAATCTTGCAAAATTCTGTATTAGCCTATTTCCTTGTGATAATTAGTAATTAAGTAGAAACAAAATTTACAAGTTCAAAATTGCAAAGTTTAATAAACTTAGTGGTGCTAATTTTTTTTCATATAATTTTTTATGTTGTATTTTTTTAATTAATACGTTCCGTATTTCCATGTACAGTAGACTGAAATTGCCATTATTAGAAAAAGAGTTTTGCCCCTTTCGCTAAAACTAAAAAAAAAGCGTTTACTCAGATTTCTAATAATTTTCATTTATGGTCATCCGTAGTAGCTGTCATCACTCGTCAATCAACACGTAGATCAAGTATTGGATAAAAATCACAGTACCAATCGTTAATAATTGGTTGTATATTACTTTTTTATGCTAGAAGTAATATTTCTTTTAAATCAGATTAATTTAACATTAAATTTTCTAATTTTGCTAAAATAACGTGTCAAAAACTTTTTAAATATTTTTAAATCGATAAATTTGTGTTTGTTTACAAATTTCGTAAAATTAAGAAAATGGCGGAATTACGAAAATTTGAAATTCCAAAATTAAATTTGACATTCCAATGTATATAGTTTCTATCTGAAATACACCAGAATTGTTTCCTTAATGGAAATAATAAATTTAATGATTAAACTTTCAATTAAAGCTAAAATGAAATTTTCAAGCATGTTTTTTCATTTTTAAAAATTTATTTTAAAGTTAGGTATCGGAAATTTTGCCGGAAAAAGTGGAGGTACCTATTTTTATATCAAGCTTTGTATTATAGTTGGCTCAAAATTTTCCATTTGAAGCTTAAACTTCATTTGGATTTGAACCCTGACTGCTAGTAGCAAAAACTGATTTACTGACATGTCTTTGTACAGCATTGTGTATATTAGTTTTGAGAAAATTCTAATTAGCCATGAAGGATGTGCTTTCAGACACTTACATAAATATGAATAAAGACATTTACTGACATGTTTTGTCTTCTGATGGACTTCATCAAGGCAAATGTAAGGATTTTGTTTTGCAACAAGTATTTATAAAAAGAAGTAAAAATGTTGTTATTTTTTAAAAAATTTTTAAATTTAAGAATGCTCATAAATAAATTGCATAAGTATGTATATATGCCTCTTGAAGAATCTTTAGCTGAAAATGTCTTATCCTTTGTATGAGGACACAGTCCAAATAACAAACTTTACACAGTGTTTGGAAATTCCTCATTCAATGATGTTCCTGATTTCATGCAGGAATTTTTTTCATGTTTTTGCTCTTGGT